CGAGTCTGTAACTATTGGGCCTCAAATTTGGGAATGATTTTGTCTTGAAAGCTTCCTTCTTTATGGCTCCGATCCTGAGGCTTTGACAAATGCAGCATTGTTTCCTCTTCTTCCATGGCTGAAAATCGAGAGCTTTGACTCTAGGTTTGGGTTTCTATCAATGTAGGTTGTTCAATAGGTAAACAATGAATAGCAACAAAAATTAGGAACCTTCATAGCAATGGTCATTTTCATCTGGGATAATTATTATTTATACTTATCACTTCCAGAGTTAAATTCTTCTACTTCATATTACAAACACATGATTTGGTCTCTTTGCATACATAAATAGAAAGGATAAAGTAATAGAAGATCTTGTCTTAGTATCAGCGTTGACAAACATAAATATCAGGACAAATGTACTAAATCTCATTGTTTTGAAAAAAAATTGTATAAAGAAAATATATATTAAATTTTTTTTTGTTGTCCTCCCGGTTCCAAGGTTTTGCATTGATTAATCCGGATCGACCCGCATCGCACGCCTAACTTTAGTGGATGAATCTACCAACAAAGATTTTTTGCATACACAAGGACTCGGACTCGAGACCTTGCTTAAGAGATAAAATACTTAAAGAGATAAAGAGCTAATAATAAAATTTCAGAACAATATACTTAAAGAGAAAATACTCAAGAGATCAAGAGCTAATAATAAAATTCCATAACAATATGCTTAAGAGAAAATATATATTAAAATTTTGAATTTTGAATTTTAAATTTCTAAATCCGTCTCTATAAATATTTAAAGAGATAAAAAGCTAAAACAATATACATTTCATAACAGGGATTTAGTTGTAATTTTGCATCAGCAAACATGGTGACGCCCTATATTATTATTTACTTTTGGTCTTATAATAATTTTGTCCAAAAATATGTTTTGATTTTAAACATTGTCGTCTCTTTTAATTTGTAAATATTTATTTATATCAAAATGAAATGACAAAAAGAGTAATAATCATATTAAGTTGATATAGATTATGTCTTTCCGCTAATAACAATATGAATATTGAGTAACAGATATATCTCATTAAGTGATCTCAATAGTAAAAGAAATATTATTCTCTCTAAATGTTATGAATTTATTCTTAAAGATATTTGGCTCAAAATGTTACATCTATAAGCCGTGTATATGTTATTCTCTTTTAATTTTTAATTATTTATTTATTTGTATCAAAATGAGGTCATGGGTTTATTCTTAAAAATCTTTAGTTCGAAAGTACCGTCTACAAGATGTGTACAAATCAATTGATTAAGAAAATTCTGAACAGATACTAAACTTGTCATCTAAATTTACCAACACAACACTCTTTACGATCAGATCATTTCACAACATGCAGATCTGTAACCCAAACAGTCTCTCTTTTCACACTCCAGTAATCCAAAAATTAAAGAAAATTCAATGATTCCTTTACTTTTCCACCATGAAACATCTTTGAACTCGAAGCTGTAACGCTCGAATTTTCACTGGAGTTGCTTTTTTTTTTTCAACTTTCATCTTGTTTTTGAAGCTGTAACCCCAAAAAAGCTGCAGATGATGATCCTAACATAACAATGATCCTCAACTTTCATCTTTCAAATGCCAAGTCCACTTCAATATCCAGATTCTGGTAGTAAATTACAGAATCTGTTCTGGAGATCAAATGTGTGTATCTTTACTTCCAAACAAAACAATTAGAATTACGCTCCATCCACAGCAAAGGATGTTCAGCTCTGGTGATAATGGAAATCCCAGAGTTACTTAGACAACCTGGATGAGGCACTAGAGGAGGAAAAAATCAGCACCATTGTGGCAGTGTCAACAACAACCTTAGAGCCAGTAACCAATATGCAGCAATTTTCCCTATCAAAACATCTGCACCCACATCAACCTTTCCGCACATCACTGTTCCACGTTCCATGGACCATTAAATATCTTGGAGATGGATTTTGATAGATAAAAAAAGAAAAAGAAGGATGACCAGGTTATCAAGCTATATATATTAGTATCCACTCTGAAGGGTTTCATTTATTGTTCTCAAACCAACTCAAATGGTCTACCTTTTTCTGGTCACCTATGCCTCTCTAATACGGTAATACCTTAAACATATCACTGAAAATTAGCCTTTTTGTCAACCCCTATCAGTCTCCTTGTTCCCCAATAGCAGTTGATGAAGAGGAAGACAAAGCCTCAAGTATCCCAGCAACTCCAAAAGGTTATAGCTTAATATTATGTTAGTTAATACACCAATATTAGAAGTAGCAATCCAAGGATGTGGAGTAGTTTGTTAAATGTTTGCAGTCAAGAGATGAATGATTTCATCATAAGTTTGTTCGAGGAACAAAAAACCGAAGGCAAAGACATACCTGGATAACATGGAAGATGGAAATGAGATGTATAAATTCTTTGAAGATGTCGAGAAGGAAGAAAGAAAAAATCAACCATGAACGCAAAGACCATTATACAAACATGAATGAACAACTTGGTAGTTCATGTTATTGAAAGAGTCAACCAAAGAGGGAAAGCTTGAAGGTTAGGTAGTAACAGTCCCTCGGGTGAGCCGAATTGGGTTTCGACTTAATTTCGATGTGATGGAGCCGCCACCGATCATTAGGTTGACTGGACACCTTAATTAATTATCTGACATGATCTGCGTTTTGCCATAAATAAATCAGATTCGGGAGTCGAAATCAAGGAATGATTAGTACCCTTGTACTGCTCATTCGGTACCAATTTAATTTCCTTGTCTTAGTTGCGAAAGTTAAAAGTTAAATTAAAATTTAAAATTCGATCTAAATTACTTATATTTGATCAATTAAAATTCCCCCCAAAAAAGTCAAAAAAAAATGTTAGTTCGTAAAAATAAAATAAATAAATGTTAAATAAATCAAAGAGATTTAAAAAAAACATGATTAAATTAAAAAATAAGAATAAAAATAAAGTTAAGATAAAAAAAAGGAAGAGTAATAAAGTAAAATAATATTAAAAGAGAAATAAATAAAAAATGAAGAAAATTTTAAATTTTAAAAGAAATTTAAAATAAATAATAAAAAAAATGAAAAAAATGTTAATTTTAAAATAAATTCGAAATACAAAAGAAAATATTAATTTTTAAAAGAAATAAAAATAAAATAAAGAAATAAAGAAATAAATGTTAAATTTTAGAAGAATAAAAATAATAAATTTAAAAAAAAATGAAGAAAATGTTAAAGGATCAAATTGGAACAAAATAAATTTATGGATCAAACTGATCCTAAAAATAAGCTGCAAGAGAAAACCAAAATGTAAAGGGACTAAATTGTGAAATATAAGAAATTTAAACATGGATTAAATTGAATAAATTCAAAATTCAAGGGTAAATTCACAACAGGTGACCAAAATGAATTATGCATCAAAACTGCAGGGACTACGAGAATAATTTAAGAATTTCATAATTATACCCTTAAAACCCAAAAAAATCACTTTTAACCCAAATTCCCAAAAAAAAACACTCCCCTCTTTAAAAAAAACTCTCTCAACACAAGTCAACCGGCCGAATGGCTGGCCACCGCTCCTAACCACGCACTGCCGCTCGACCTTGTAAACCTGTAAACCCAAATCCACCCCCAAAATAAAAAAATACCTAGATCAGAATACATCTAAATCCCAAGGTTTCAACTTTTATCTTGGTTTCCAACGAGATCCTTTGTTCTCCAATGACCCTTGGCCTCCCGACGTAGACTTTACGCTTTCCTGGAAGCTTTCAGCGAAGGCTTTGATTTTTTTTTGCTATATTCGAATGGTTTCTTTGTCTGATTTGGTTGGTATTTTGTTGTTGGGTTTGCTCGATCTTCTCTATGTCATCTATTTTTTTGTGTTACTCCACCAGTGGCCTTTTATAGCCTCTGGAAACGAGTTGTAATATCGATTTCATCGGGATTTAGGTGTGGCCGATTCTCTCGGCATGTTGTTTTTGGTTGGCCGGAAATCTCGGAATGGTGCAGTCTCGGGTTGTTTGGCCGGAAATCCCGGCCGATTTTACTGTTGTGGTCGGCGGCGCTCCTTGCTTGGCTACTGACCTCCCTTGACTAAGCATGAAACCTAACATGTGGATTTGGGCTAGGTCAAACCCCTAACCGGGTCTATTTTGCTGGGTCAGATTGGCATGACTTGGTTGGACACTTTGCTGAACTTGAATTTGGACTTGGACAAAAAAACAAAACTAAATATATAATATAAAATGATACAAAAATATAAATAATACTATATAATAAATATAAATATAATAATAATATATAAATATAAATAATAATAAATAACATTAATATGATATAAATAATAATATATATAAAAGAAATAATATTAATATAAAATAATATATAATAAAAACTATAATATATTTCAAAAAAATATGTTTTCAAAAATTATATATTATATATGTTTCCAAAAGATCGTTTTTTAAAAACTATATATATGTTTTCAAAATATGTTTTCAAAACTATATTATGTACGTTTTCAAAAAAACGTTTTTAAAACTATATATTATAATTTTTCAAAATCGTGTTTTCAAAACTATATATGTTTTAAAACATGTTTTGAAAATCATATTATATATTTTCAAAAACCGATTTTTTAAAAACTATATATTATATAATTTCAAAAAACGTCTTCTAAAATAATATATTATATGTTTTAAAAAATATTTTCAAAAATTATATTATTAAATCCGGACGAAAATGAGTGACTACACTAAGAAAGATGCAATGCAGCTGGTTGAAACATACCTGCACTTGTGGAAACTTGTTTGACATCCCCTTTTAAATGATATTTCACTGGCTTGCTTATTCATCTATGAAAAACAATGCCGGCAATTGAGTGGGAAGTACACCAGACATCAAAACTTTATGCTATATATTGGATAAACAATTTTATATACAAGACAAACAATCAAGAAAAGGGAATATCTTAAAATTATAAAAACCAAACCAAAGCACAATCCATTCGAATAGAATGACAATCAGCACACGATAGCATCTTGAGCTTAAACAATCCAAGAACTCTCAAAATGAATGCAATGTTACCAACTTAAAAAAACTGTTTGACACATTACTGGGAATCCACCAGATTGAAGCACTAAACAAAAGGCATATTGGATTACTTATAGAGTTCAAGTCCCGGCATTAGGCAAAGCTGCCATAAATTAATTGTATGAAGATTCCAAGTCAAAGTGGAGCTGCCTAGCTTGCTGTTCTGTTAACTCATCTGCTGCCCCCATCTTAGCCAACCTTGAGATCCATTCCTTCATCTTTATCTTCCTCTCAAAATCAGGTGGCAAAATACCAAGCTTGTTGAGTGATACAGAGAGGTCAGACAACAAAGGATACACTTGATCAACTGCCACCATGTTGAGTTTCAATGAATCCATGGCAGTAATAAAATTCTGCACACATTCAGCCACAATGGCAGCAGAAGTAGTCGCAGAGTCAGAGGCAGCTTCCGCAGCGCGGTGCTCCACAGTGGCAGGCACACCAGATGTCAATAGACGGCTTATAGCAGCCGGGCAGTCCATTTTATATGTATCTGCTAAGCGTTCAATGCTGGGAACAGTGTCTTTTAGAGTAGAAGCCAAGGTTTTGAAATGGGCAATAAGCTTTTGGCACTCAGTCTCATATTCAGATGATGAAATAATATCCCTCACATAAGCCTTCTCAAGCTTCTCTGTTGCCTTGATACTCTGCAGAGTTCTCATACATTTCTCTCTCGCGCTTGTCGTTCCATAGCTTAACCTCCATGTAACAAGAGTTGGTATGTTACTAAATTGAACAAAAGGGTCAACTTGAGATCAAATAAAAAGGGGTTTCTGAGTTTGAGGTTTGAAGGAATGGAGAAGAGAACGGGACACTCGCAAAGAGAAGTAAACTTTATTCATTGCAAAACAATTGAATCAACAGAAACTAATCAGATTGCTATCCAATTTATCATTAATAAAGATTCTTTTTTCCCCTGCAAAACACCAAAATCCAAATCACCGAAGAAAAGAAAACATAAAATTTTTCATCTGCTTTCTATGCAAACAACAAAGACGCTAAAAGAACATACGGAACGGATGATCAAGACAAAGAAACGAAGAAACCCTTACCTTAATTCATCCCAAAACGATATAAAAGCCCTAAGGAAATTGATCCAGATAGATGAAATTATAATGAAAATATACAAAGGGAATGAAACGCGGCTTTGAATGTCGTGCAGCGGTGATGTTTGAAGCAGAGAGATGGATTGTGTGGGGGTCCAATTATTAAGTCTTTACGGCATCTACGTGTGGCAGTTGGGAAATCTCCTGAAAACTATTACACTTCCACCTCTTCTTCTCTAACTTAATCCACCTATGGTTAGCCTATTCAAACCATCAATTTAGTTATTAATCCGATTAAATTATTCAAAATTACTTTTTTTAAAATAATAATTATTTTTAAACTTATTAGCTGAACCAAATTAAATTTGATAATTTTTAAATTAAACCAAATCTATTTATATTTTTATTAAAAACACAGTAAACATTTAGTTTATAAATTAAAATAATTATTAAAAATATTATTTAATTAAATTTATTAATTTATCAAATATTTATTTATCAATGTTTTATTGTATATTTTTAGTAGTGCATTATTTTTTTGGTGCTCAAAAATATATTTGTTAAGACGATATCAATATAAATGAGTTGGTATTGAAAATATTTTTCTATGCACATTCCCATAGTTATTTGGAATCCAGTAGTAGATGGCTTGATAGGGTCATTTACGCTACCACAAAGGTGCTTTGTGATGATAATATTGACATAAATCAATACACCTTTGCATATCAAATATATATACTTTAACTTTGTTTGAAGGGTTATTTGATGGTATTTGTATCATGGAAGAAACTTAAAAGAGAGGCAAGGCAAGGCCAGGCCAGGCATGCTTGCTTCACATGTAAAGGTGTTGGTGAAAACCTGAGTCGAGGTTTTCACTTTTCCCCGCTTATCAGACTACAATATACTTTGCGGTATAATTGGTGTCATCTCTTTTCTTCAAATATAAATCAAAATGGAAAATTACGATTACTCTTCTCTTTCTTATCATTTGCAGGACTTTTACAAGGATGGGTTGGCACGAGCTACTATGGATCGTAAGGCTGCTTCTTCTTATGCAATTGGTTCAAGGGGTCTTTAGTTGGGGAAAACTTGGTCATTATGCTGTTTGCAAGATTGCTGAGGTCTGAAGCCTCCCTTTTTCTCTCTCTTCTTCTTCAAATGTTTTGATCCATAACATCATATGGGAAAGATGATCATCTGATTATGCTTTTCAGGGTCATCTTACTGAAGATGCCATGGCTACAGTCAAAGAACTGCTCCCAGATTCTGCTAAAGGTGAGCTTGCTTCTGTATGTTCATGGCCTGATGATATCAAATGGTACTACAACTGGCAGTGGACAACCTCCCTACACTATGTTGACACCCCAAATTTCAAGTGTAACTATAAATACGTCCGTAAGTGTTTCGGTTCCATCAGATACGAGTGCTAAACATAAATATTTTAAGAGAAATGAAGAGTTATGCCGACATTAATTAACCTTTCTTATAGGAGACTGCTATGATTCTGCTGGGCACAAAAATAATTGTGTAACAGGAGCAATTTTCAACTATACAAGACAACTCTTTTCAGCATATCAGAGATATAATCCCAGGTTGAAATGTAAGCACTGTTCCCGTATATACTCCTGGAGTTACTCTTGAAATAATACATATGGTTTATTATATGCTCTCCTTTTTGTTTGCGACAGACAATTTGACAGAGTCACTCATGTTCTTAGCTCATTACATGGCGGATGTCCATCAGGTTTTTACTCATATCACATATATGGAAAATCTAGAAATCATTAACCATATATATTTTATTCAATACCTTTATATGTTTTCTTTATTACAGCCATTACACGTTGGCTTCACAGGAGATTTAGGAGGGACTGGTATTAAAGATATAAACGTCATTAGGTACTTTATTTTATGCTGTAGTATGGTTATTCCAGGTTTGGGATACCATGATTATTGATACTGCAGTGAAGACATTCTATGGCTCGGATCTTTTAACCATGATTCCAGCTATACAGAGGAATATTACAGTAAGACAAACGAAACGCTTTCATTTTTGTTTTGTTGAGATTATCGTTTTTACCGCTTACCTATATAAGCAACGCTTAACGTGATAATTGACTGCTGAGCTTATATTTTCATCTATAGGATGCTTGGTCCAATGATAAATCATCATGGGAATATTGCATATATAAGAACACAGTTTGTCCTAACATGTAAGTGTCATTCCACGGCATATTCTTTATTATATAGAGTATGTAATTCATACCTATACTCGTATCTGACACTTACATCCGAATCTGATAACATTTTTAAATTGCTTCAATACGCAGATATGCTTCTGAAAGTGTTAGGTTAGCATGTAAGTATGCATATAGGAATGCCACACCTGGAAGCACCTTAGAAGGTATTTGTTATTTCCTCTTTCTACTGTTATCTTGTTCGATAATTAAAGGCACTTTATGAAACTTGATTTATGTATTAAAATAAAATAATGAAAACGGATCCAAGTCCAAACTTGTTGAAGATAAATGGCCGAATTGCCCTTGCCTCTATCACCTGGTTTGCCTCTAGTTCATTATATGATGCCATTTCTTATATTTTCACGCAATTTACCATGGTTGGCAAAGGCTGAGACGATGCCATATGAAACCAGATTAGCTAATCTTAACTGAATTATGTTTCTGTTCATTTAACATCTTCATAATTTTGCTCCATAGATGATTATTTCCTCTCGCGGTGCCCGTTGTGGAGAAGAGACGAATTGCCCTTGCCTCTATCACCTGGTTTGCCTCTAGTTCATTATATGATGCCATTTCTTATATTTTCACGCAATTTACCATGGTTGGCAAAGGCTGAGACGATGCCATATGAAACCAGATTAGCTAATCTTAACTGAAATTATGTTTCTGTTCATTTAACAGTCTTCATAATTTTGCTCCATAGATGATTATTTCCTCTCGCGGTTGCCCGTTGTGGAGAAGAGACTGGCTCAAGGCGGGATTCGCCTCGCCTCCGTGCTCAACCGACTGTTTAATTTCCGAGTGAAAATCGGTCGATCTTCAAGATAAAATACCAGAGAGGCATCTTTACATGCTGTAAGCACCATTGTAATACACGCTCATATTGTTCATACAATCATAGCTTTAAAAATTAAATATGCCAAACCTATGTATCATTCATCCCTTTTTCAACTTGTTCAAGAATCCATAATTAACTGGTATCAAGAAAAACAATGTATCAAATGTAATATTTTCAATGAAAGAAAACATCAACTTTGTTGATGGAACAAAGGGGATTGACGGCGATTCATTCCTTCTAATTTGGAGAGAAAGTTGTAGTTGGTAATCAGACAGTGGTCAGTCAGTAGAATTAATGGTGAAGAGATGAAGGAAAATCTAGAAGGATTCTTCGTCCCCCTCTTCTCCCTCCTCTCTTTTTTTCTTTCTTTCTAGGACTTTGTATTTGATTATATCAAATCTAGGATTATGATTGATTTCCATAAACCGACACGAAGGTTTAATGTAGTCGCTCATTAATAGACATAGACTTCAATCTTTTCGGATATCTTGGGGTTTCCAATTGTCTTACTTAATAGGAGATGATGGTAGGTAAGATGTTTAATCATAGGTACAATGTTATTCCGGATATATAAAGCTTTGCTTCAAAGTTCCTTTTAGTCAAGGAAATGCCGTAAAGTGGTTTGAACCAAGATTTATATGTATGTAGCTTCTTAGACTCGGTTTGAACGATATGATTAAATTTAGGCAGTTACATATCGTATTTAGAAATTATTTTCATATTTAAAATAGCGTTGAAATATATATATCAGTATAATATGAAACTACCATCAGTGAGATTCATACGATATATATATATATATATACATATATCGGAAAAATTGTATAAAATATATACAAATATAATACCGGTAATACATATATATCAAAACAGTAGCAAAAATACGTGTCACCAAAGTATAACAAAAAGGGCATATAGGGATATACAGTGGTACAAAAATGAGAAGTAGCGATCATCTTGATGCCAAGTTTGCTAGTCTATTGTCTGCTACTATCTGAAAAGGTTAAAATTTATATAATGAGCTAAAAAACTCAGTGTGCTCCTTATAGTGTATTAAAACATACAAATAAAACACTTCAGTAAAAATCAATTCATCAAACATGTTTTAAAAATATGAACAATACCCTCATCTGATCACCAGAATGTGTAGGTTCCCCAAAATCATACACATACATGTACACCTTGTAATGGCCTTATACATATAGCATAAAGATCTGCGGTGAGGACTTATCCTGTGCATAAAGCAGAGTAGCCTGCGATAAGGTCTTACAGGTCATAGATTAGGCTTGAGATACTTCATCCAATAATACCTCCAATGACGCTAATAAACATATATGTATTCGAGTGAAAACATAGTTTAATACATTAAAACATGAAAATATTCAATATTCAGAAATTAGATACATAAATACAATAATCAGAGATCATATAAAAAATATACAGTAAATCATATATCAAATAAACAATATTTAGAAAATCAGGTATTATGTCGTAAAAATATTCAGTATCATTATAAATCTAAAACAGTTCAGATATGTAGTTAAAAACAGTAATGTAACACTATCAGGAAACATATATGTACTAGTTTGGGTAGTATGATAAGGAAGTCTACTACTGGGTCTGTCGATCACGATTAGGGACAACGCATACGAATAAAAAATTTTATATCAAAATCCTAATAGGAATAATAATAACATATATTTAAACAATTTACGGACTACGAGTAACTCTAAAAAAACGCATATCGTGCGGATCTGACAGACGGGAATCACCGAATCTAATCGACCCTCGGTTGGGGAAATACGAGTATCTTCATAAAAATATAATTCCATAAAACTAGACTT